AAAACAAGGGACAGCCAGAAGAAAGAGAAAAAGCAGAAGAAGCAGAAGAGGAAGCAGAAGGAGAAGCAGAAGCAGAAGAAGGAGAAGGAGAAAGAGAAGGATTTGGAGTAGAAGAAACAGAAGGATAAGCAGAAGCAGAAAGAGAAGGAGAAGCAGGAGAAGCAGAAGCAGGAGAAGCAGAAGCAGAATGAAAAGCAGAAGAAGGAGAAATTGAAACAGAAGAAGATGCAGAGGGAGAAGCAGAAGCAGAAGTAGGAGGAGAAGGAGAAGCAGAAGGATAATCATAAAGAGAAACAGAAGGAGAAGGAGAAGCAGAAGCGGGAGAAGCAGAAGGAGAAGAAATAGAAGAAGGAGAAGAAGCAGAAGCAGAAGGAGAAGCAGAAACAGAAGGAGATGCAGAAATAGAAGCAGAAGAAGCCGAAGAAGCAGAAGAAGAACCTGAAGCAGAAGGAGAAGCAGAAGAAGCAGAATCTGGAGAAGAAGAAGGAGAAGCAGAAGCAGAAAGAGAAGCAAAAGCAGAAGGAGAAGCAGAAGAAACAGAAGAAGCAGAAGCAGTAGCAGAAGAAGCTGAAGATGCAGAAGGAGAAGCAGAAGGAAAAAGGGCGCTGGTGGCTCACGCCTGTAATCCTAGCTACTCGGAGGCTGAGATCTGAGAATCGCGGTTCAAAGCCAGCCCGGGCAGGAGAGACCGTGAGACTCCTATCTCCAATAAACCACCAGCAAACCGGAAGTGGTGCTGTAGCTCAAGTGGTAGAGTGCTCGCCTTGAGCTGAAGAGCTGAGGGACAGCGCCCAGGCCCAGAGTTCAAGCCCCATGACCGACAAAAAAAAAAAAAAACAAGGGACAGCATTGAGGCTGAGTTCAGCGCCTCTACCGGCACTACACAGAACAATGCTTCCTTCCTGGGTGCCAGTGACTTGTGCCTAGCTACTCAGAAGGCTGAGAGATGAGCTCATGTTCAAGGTTCAGAGTCAGGGCAGGCAGGAAGGTCTGTGAGACTTTTTTTTTTTTTTCTGTGAGACTCATTTCCAGTTAACTCCCCCAAAAACGCAGAGGCAAAACTACGGCTAAACTGGTAGAGCACCAGCCTTGATTGAAATCGGGGCAACGCGTAGCCCTGAGTTCAAGTCCCGGGACCAGTACACAGACAAACGCAAAAGCCTCCCTCAAGTTCAGATGCCTGAGAATCCGGGAAGGAAGGCTGTCTGAATCGCAAGGCCTCCCTCACCTGTCCCCTCCCCCCCCCCCAACGCTGGCTCCACGCTAGGCAGACCTTTCCCCCACCTCACCTGAGACGAGGCCTGGTCCAGGGTGGTCTGGCAAGCCCGCGCTGCGGCGGCGGCCTGGTCCCCGTTCTCGGGGCCGCGCTCCCACACCCAGGCCCGCAGATTGTCGGGCAGGATGCTCAGGAACTGCTCCAGCACCAGCAGCTCCACCATCTGCTCCTTCGAGTGCATCTCGGGCCTCAGCCACCGCCGACAGAGCTCCCGGAGTCGGCTCAGCGCCTCTTCGGGCCCCGCCACCTCCTGGTACCTCAACTGCCGGAACTGCTTTCGAGAAGTTTCGAGATGCTGCCAGGCCCCCGGCAGCTCGGATCCCAAACCTCGGGGTGAGTCTTCCTCCACTTTCACCACCAACAGCCCTTCGCAGAGGGACGAGGCGGGGACTCCGGACCCTGCAGCCATCAGAGACTTTGGGTGGTCAAGCCCGAATCGGTCTTCCTCCGACTGGCGTGCCTTCCCCGGAGTCTTGGGGGAACTTCCTCAAACTTGGGACTGAAGCCTCCACACCCGCTCTCTGCTGAAATCCCCCGCCTCCAAATCACAATGCAAAGCCCGTGCCGGAAGTGCCTCACAAACCCTGAAGGATTCGCTCCTTGTACTTCCGGGACCACTCTAGGCGCCTGGGAGGAATAAGAGAAGCACATCTCGGTGGTTTATGGTCCTCAGCACGGCGAAGCAGGCCCCCGGCCAGTTAGCCACAGATCAAGAAAATAAGGGACTAAGTGGCTGAGTGTGGATTCAGGGAACCTTCAGGATTGGGGGGGAAATAAAACCTTAAGTGCTTTCCTGTACACCACGTATTGTAGTCTCGGCAAACAAAGATGAGGAAACCGAGGCTGGAGGAACTTAAGCCATGCCCCACATCAAGTTGATAATGACTTGATACATAAAACCAATGATTGCCCGTTTCAAACCCCAAAATTGAGGTCTTTCCACGGTTACTATGTTCGTTTATTGTCATTCCCCCTTCTCCCTAACTGCTGCCTAATTCACTCGAGTTAAAAGCCTACAGTGTTTTGCACTCAGGAAAGCAGCAAGTCACGTCGGACTATTTACTGTTAATATGTGCCACAGCACCTCTTTAGCGCAATACAGGACACACTAAGCCTCCAGTCATAAAATGCCCAATGACTATTTCCTGAGAACCATTGCCAATGAAGCTCAAGCATAGCAACTAGTCTCCGTCTTCCCTGGGCAGAGGAAGTGAAGCAGGCAGCACTTGTTAGCGCTCCCTCAACAAAGTAGCACAAATTGGATGGCTTAAGCAGGAGGTTACTATCTTAAAATCTGGAGGCTCCAAAAGTGAGATTAAGGTGTGAGCAAGAAGGAATGTAAAGCCTTGAGTTCAAGGCCCAATACTACCCCGCGCGCACACACACACATATATTTATTTGCAAATGCTACACTACTCAGTAAGATAATGCGAACACTATACAAGGATAGACACGCTCCAAAATTTATTAAGTAAATATAGTTGGGTAGAGAAAAGCTATAAACTGTGCTGTCATTTACATGTAAAATGTTTGCCTGATGATTCATTCATTTATATATATATATATATATGATTTTGGTTGACACAAAATAAATTAGTCGACTATCTTTATGATTAGATGCAGAATAAGGAATGGGAGGGAAAATTATTCTGTAAAAGCGTCAAATTTTAGCTTAAATGTATAGCTATTCAAATGAAAATTTTAAAATGTAAAGGACATTTGTAAATTGTTTAAATGGTAGCACATATATTGGCTTAGAGAATTTTTTTTGTCGGTTGTGGAGCTTGAACTCTGTGCCTGAGTGCTTTACCTGTGCTCTTCAGCTCAAGGCAGGTGCTCTACTGCTTGAGCCACAACACCACTTCCGGTTTTCTAGTGGTTTATTGGAGATAAGAGTCTCAGGGAGTTTCCTGCCCAGGCTGGCTTTGAACTGTGATGGACAGATCTCAGCCTCCTGAGTAGTTAGGATTACAGGCGTGAGCCACTGGCACCTGGCTTAAGAGAGTTTTTATAAACATTAAACTAAGCCAATTCAACACAAAGGAGCAAAGTTAAGCCATCCTTGCAAAATTGCTATACTAACTACAACCTTGAAAGATTTGATCGGTCTATTGGTGCTGAGAATCGAACCCAAAGCATCTAGCTCACTAGGCAAACCTATTTCTAAGTCGCAGTCACACTCCTCTCATTTTTTAAAATATAATTTTGTTGTTATCATTAAGGTGTTGTACTGAGGGGTTACTATTTCATAAGTCAGATAGGAGTACAATCCTTGGGGCTGGGAAGGTGGCTCGGTGGTACAGTGCTTGCCTTGCTGCATGCATGAGACCCTGGGTTCGATTCCTCTGCACCACGTAAGCAGAAAAGCAGGAAGTGGTGGTGTGGCTCATGTGGCAGAGCGCTGGCCTTGAGCCGAAGAGCTGAAGGACAGAGCCCAGGCTCAGAGTTCAGGCCCCACCCGACAAAAAAAAAAAAGTACAATCCTTTTTGGACATTGTTACCCCTTTTCCATCGCTTTCCCTCAATTATCCACGGCTTATCCTGCCCACAAGTTACACAGTTCATTTCTCACAGTCTTACTCTTATTTTAAGTTGTCAACTCACCAAAACACAAAACACAACGCTGCAGACTTTCACCAGAAGCTTGATCCTATCTGGTATGATTTTAGGTGTCCCACCCCCTCCCACAATGTCCTTAAACCTTTTAAATACCTCTTTTCATTTGTTATCAGAGGCTTTAATTCCATATCAATTTCTCCTCTGAGACCCTAAAGAGCAGCGATAGGCATTCTTGATCCTGTTTGTCCAATAGCTTTGAAAACTGAGAACAACTTTTAGAGCATCTTCCGACAGGGAGAGATGGTTACCATGGGAACATTCCTGCGCCAGGGTAGCCCCGAGAGACCAATATCCTCCCAAGAGCTCCTCCCTGGTGAGGTTGACAGACGCCCCGCCTCTCTTTCTGAGCGTGCCAGAAAGGCGCTCGAGGACCCGCCTATCTAACCTTGTTGCATTCTGATAGGCCCTTGAGAGCTCGCAACCGTATTGGTCATCCTGTGTAGCGCGCGCAGGGCTTCCTGGGAGCTGTAGTCCCGACAGCGTCTGAGGCCGGTGATGTTGAAGATTTCGGCCAAGGGAATTGACAGGGGTCAGAGGTGTGTGTTTGGAAAAGGAACTTGAGGACTGGCGAGAATTCAGCTGAGAAAAAAACAGAAAGGCCCAAAGTTTAAGATGAGTGAGGGTTGTGGTTTTTCAGAAATGTACAGATTTACTTCGAAGTAAGCCTCCGTGTGTGATGAATGGTGACAGCCAATCAGACGCTTGCAATTGAGGTCCTTCCGCTGAGGTCCCGCCCCCCTGTCCCCACTCTCTGGAACCAGCGGAGCACAGGCCACTATGGTGTGGGGTGAACTATAGAAAGGCTTGTTTTCCGACCCACTCTGGTGACTGGGCACCGACGACTCCCAGGCAGGCCTCTAGACTACCAGGCTACAGAGGAAGCGGGCAGGAGGGGTCCGACCCGCGCCCTATCATCTCCTTGATGATTGGTCGACTTCCATCTGTGGGCGTGGTCGGGGCGGGACTAGAGGCGACACCCCCCTCGGCCGCCCGCCCGCTGTGAGGAGAGGACCTCCGGGATTCCTAGAGAGGACTCGGAAGTGCTCTCGGGGGTGGGATTTATGGCTTAGTCTTGGACTTGCTTACTTCCGGCGAGGAAGTGTTGAGAAGTGTCGGGTTCGGTGTTGTCAGGGTTTGTAAGAACTCCATCTTCCCCAGCCTGCGTGCCGGGTGCTTGATCTTTGAGGAGAGAGTTCCCCGACCTTGGAGACTGGAGTGGGAAGGCCTAGGGCTTTGTGTCCGGCCTGGGGTCTTGTCCCTAACCGTGGGGAGGGTCTCTCTGATTTGGGGTCAGGGGTGACGCTGCGAATTCCCGGTCCGCATCTGTACCAATAAGCCCAGTTTTTCCAACGGGACTAATGAAGTCTCCCCTGGCTCTCTCAAGCTTTCGTGGCTCGGAGGACAGGACAGTTATAATCATTTTAAATGGTTCTTCCCACTTATGCTGACTTAAGTTTCTTGGCCCCTTATTTATACGAAATGTATTTTCACCTCTAAAACGGTTGGGTCTGATGTCCGATTTTTATGGCTATTCTTTACCTTTAAAAGAAAAATCTTGAGGATTGCCCTGCTTGTAATCATTTTTAAGGGTGGAATGATGGCTGTCATTCTAAGTGAGTTACTTTGATAAGTGGTTCTCTTTAGTATGGATGACGCCTTTGCCATCTCTCTTTGCTAACAATGATTCTCGATATATCAGTAGGTTATACAATACTAAAAAATGACCTTCGCAAGAGCTTAAAAGGCAGAAAAGAAATTGAGTCAGAGTAACACAGCCCAACTTCGAGAGACTTCCCTCTGAGTTGGAATGATAATGACAGAGTTCCGGGAAGTTATAGACTTAGACCCTCCATCTGAGTCGTCTCAAGAACAAGAGGACCTTCTAATAGTAAAGGTGGAAGAAGAAGAAGATTGCACCTGGATGCAGGAGTACAATCCGCCAACGTTTGAGTCATTTTACCAACGGTTCCGTCACTTTCAGTACCATGAGGCCTCAGGACCCCGGGAGGCCTTGAGCCAGCTCCGGGTGCTTTGCTGTGAGTGGCTGAGGCCCGAGCTGCACACCAAGGAACAGATCCTGGAGCTGCTGGTGTTGGAGCAGTTCCTGACCATCCTGCCTGAAGAATTCCAAGCCTGGGTCAGAGAACATCACCCTGAAAACGGAGAAGAGGCCGTGGCTGTCATCGAAAGTATACAGAGAGACCTTGAAGAACGCAGGGAGCAGGTGAGTGGAAGAAAAGATCTGACCAATGAGAAAAGAGAGAGGAGGAAAGAATTTAGGAGCCGCTGAGCAGGGGTGAGATCCTTAGCCCTTGGGTACTTCATTCATATTCTTTTGTTCTCCTGGAATTAGGTACACTATGGAGATTCCTTGCCACTCCAGGAGGAAAAAAAAAAAAGAAGCAATATCCAGTGTGTTAACCTGCAGAAGACAATCTGCAATTTTTATTTGTTTTTAAGATTGTATATCTTTTCTTGAATGGCATGGTAAAAAAAAAAAGGTACATAAGATTGTAATGAAAAGTAAGTTTTTTCCTTACACCCCTTGCTGCTTATCTGCCTCATTCTTCTTTCCAGAGGCAGCTATCGTTTGCTGATACTTGTAGATCTTTACAGAGACATACAATATTCATTTGGATATTATTACAGAAGTATATGGCATGCTTAAAAAACACACAGATGTTTCTGTGTGTACAAGTTTCTGTGTACTTCTGCCTCTTCCTTTTTATATACTATATCTTAAATATAAGTAAATGTAAGTAGAGCTGCCCTACTCTTGAAACTACATTCTATTGAATTTTGACCTGAATCCATACATTCTACCATATGACATACCGTAATTTATTACAGTCTTATTAAAAGACTGTAACTTGTTACATTGAAGTTGTTCCTTTAGATAGTTTTGGAATGTTGACTGTAATGACTGTTCCATTATATAAGTGATTGTAAAATGGAAGCTTTGGAATCAAATTATTGGCTCAGAGGTATATTTCCAGTTTTGATAGCTGTTGCATTTTGCTCCTGGAGAGGTTATACCAATTCATAGTCCCACCAGCAGTCCACAAGAGCATTTTGTTTTAACCACAGCCTAATATGAGATTACCAACCTTTTGGGATATTACCAATGTGAAAGATGTGAAATTTCATTTCATTTCTGTGCAGTTATCATTTGTGTTTCTCTTATGAGCACATACATATTTTTAAAAGCTATTTTTCACAAATGATCTGTTTCTTATCTGTAATTCTCACCTATTAGCAACAATAAGTGTGTCTGCTATATGATTTGCATGTGTAACTTTTCTAGTTTGTTGTTTATCTTGCCAGTTGAGGCTAAGGTTTAACTTTTATTTTGTGGTTTCTGGGTTTCATATTCTTTTAAATAGGCCTCTTTCACTACAATATCATGAAAACATTTCTCATTGCTTCTTTTCCTTTTTTGTTTTTGTCAGTACTTGGGTTTGAACTCGGGGGCCTCCTACTTGCTAGGCTGATGCTCTCCTACTTGAGGCACACCTTTAGTTCTGTTTTTTGCTAGTTATTATCAAGATACGGTCTGGAACTTTTCTTTCCTGGTTGGCCTCTAAACATGATTTTTTAGATTTCAGTGGCTAGGATTATAGGTGTGAGCCACTAGTACCCAACTTTTTTTTTTCTTTTAATGCTCTTAAGTGTTTTTAGAATTTATTTTCATGTAGCATGTTTGATGTAGTTATAGCTTATTGTTTTCCCTAGAAGTCTATCCAGTTATAGCAATTAGAAAAAAATCTTAGCTGGTTAAATATGTCACCTCTAGCACAAATCAGATTTCTGCTTATAGGGATCCATTTCTGGTATATTTTATTTTAGCAAGTTTATTGCCTATTCATGTATCATTATTTGAGCTCTGTAAATGTTTGGTTTCTTTTTTTTTTTTTTGGTCGGTCGTGGGGCTTGAACTCTGGGCTTGGGCGCTGTCCCTCAGCTCTTCAGCTCAAGGCTAGCACTCTACCACTTGAGCTACAGCGCCACTTCCGGTTTTCTGGTGGTTTATTGGAGCTAGGAGTCTCACGGTCTCTCCTGCATGGGCTGACTTTGAACCACGATCCTCAGATCTCAGCCTCCTGAGTAGCTAGGATTACAGGCGTGAGCCACCAGCGCCCGGCTTGTTTCTGAGGTTTTATGCTCAAGGCTAGCACTCTACCATTTGAGCCACACCCCCACTTCTGGGTTTTTGGTGGTTAACTGGACATAAGTGTCTCACACACTGTCCTTCTAGAGCTGGCTTTGAACCACAATCCTTAGATCTCAGTGCCTTGAGTAGCTAGGATTATAGGCTTGAGACACTGGTGCCTGGCTTGTGTAAATATTTTTGATATCTGGTATGGCTACTTTTACTCCTTCCAGTTTGTTGGTTTTTTTTTTTTTCCAGTGCTTTCTCTTCCCTTTAGGAATGTCAGAATTACTTTTTTAGAGACAAGCTTGGTGGTACATACCTGTAATCCAAGCACTCAGTAGAGTGAGGCAGAAGGATCATGAGTTCCTGTCCAGCCTGGGCTATATAGTGAGACCCTTTCTAAGGAAGGGGGAAGGAAAGAGAGAGGGAGGGAAAGAAGGAAGGAAGGAAGCAAGCAAGCAAGCAAGGAAGGGTGATAGGAAGGAAGACAGAGAAATAGAGATTGTTTTATTTCCATTGCCCTAAAAATATAGTTGGTATTGTTAAGGTTATGTTAAATCATATGTCAGTATAGTGGGAATTTATAACTTTATATAATTTCATCTTCTCCTTTTTTTTTGCCAGTCCTGGGCTTGAACTCAGGATCTGGGTGCTGTCCCTTAGCTTTTTTCATTCAAGGCTAACACTCTACCACTTGAGTCATAGTTTCACTTCTGGTGATTTTTTTTGGTGATTTATTGAAAATAAGAGTCTCATGGTTTTTCCTGTCCAGATTAGCTCCAAACTGCAATCTTCAGATCTTAGCCCATTTGAAGAGCTAGAATTATAGGCATGAGCCACAGGGGCCCTGCTCTCTCCTCTTTTATTTATTTTTTTGGGGGGTCTGGTTGTGGGGCCTGAACTCTGGGTCTGGGCACTGTCCCTCAGCTCTTCAACTCAAGGCTAGTGCTCTACCACTTGCACCACAGCGCCACTTCCTGCTTTTTTCTGCTTATGTGGTGCTGAGGAATTGAAACCAGGGCCTCATGCATGCGAAGCAAGCACTCTATCACTGAGCCACCTTCCCAGCCCTTTAATTAACTTTTACTCACTCTGGGCTTTTTCCATTTCCTGGATTGCATTCCACATCTCTTTGTAGGAGAGTTTTAACATGCTCTCTCTGTCTGGGTTATTTCTCTGCCTTCTCTCTGGCTTTCTTCTTCTAATTGTAGGTTTTTAAAAGGACCCTTACCTAGAAAAGCCTAAAGTGGGTTTCACCTATTCTGTCTCTAGGCAGCATATCTTTCCTGTCTTAAGACGTAACACAGTTCACAATTGTGTGTGTGTGTGTGTGTGTGTGAGTTCTCCAAATAGAAGCCAACTGTGGTTCTTTAGACCCTGCCTAGTCAATGCCTGGCTCATTGTAGAAGCATAGGAAACATTGGAACAATTGAAAAGTCTGGCTGGACTCTCCTAGGTTGTTTTCTGGCCCACTAACACTGCTGACAGGTTGTGGTTGTTGTTGTTAGATTATTGTGTGTCCTGAAGCGCTTCCTCCGAAGATGGTCCTGCCTGAAGTAGTGCAGGAGTCCCTCGCTCACCAGGCCTTGTCCACAGACCCTGAGGCTGATCAAGAGCCACTGAAGCCCCATCTCCTGGAAGAAAACGGTGAGGCTCTGCGGTTCAGTGAAATAGATGTGAGAGTAGGAAGTCTCTCTCGCCATATGAGCAAGAGAGAGGCTGGAAGCAGGTTGGGATCTGGAGGTTGAACAGGGTTGGAAACTTATGATGACCTTCTAGGCAGCTTCCAGGGAGGCTGGGCCTGTGACATTTCACTCAGAAGTAACAATGTAAGCTGGGCGCTAGTGGCTCACACCTATCATCCTGCCTACTCAGGAGTCAGCCTGGGCAAAAAAGTCCATGAGGCTCTTATCTCCAATTAACTACCAGAAAACCAGAGGTGGTACTGTGGCTTAAAGTGGTAGAATGCTAGCCTTGAGTGAAAAAACCCAGGGACAGTGCCCAGGCCCTAATACAAGCCCCACAACACACACACACACCACACACACACACACACACACACACACACACACAAAATATGGAGTGAACAAGGAAGAAATAATCAGAATATCCTTGGCCTCTTGAGTCTGTCTGGCTTAGGACCATGGTTCTCCTACCTACACTTCCTCCATAGCTGGGAGTACAGATGTGCACCACCCTACCTGGTTGTAGAGGGTCTTGAGAGCTAAGCAGTTGCCAGGGGGCATTGTGGACTTGATTAAAGGAGGTCTTTGATGGTTTCAGACCTAGACTGCAGTATTCTCACTGACACCTCTCTTTCTCCTCCTTTAGCCCTTCCTGTTCTCCAGGTTCCTCCCCTTCCCCTGAAGGACAGCCAGGAGTTGACAACCTCACTTCTCTCAGCTGGGTCCCAGGTGAGCCAGAACTTTTTTCCTTTGTGAGAACCCATACCTCTTCTTTGCCTTCAGCCAAGTCTTTATAGGGAGGTTATTTTCTTTCATGCATCCATGCCCAGGTAGGTCTGGTAGGTTCATTCCCTCTGTCCTTTTCCTTTCTTCCCTCCTTCCTCTCCTCTGAGGCATAGCACCTCCCCTCATTCCCTTCCTTCATGACAAGACCTTCTCCAGCTCCTGATTTGAATATGAGGAGTAGGAATTTACCCAACCTCTCCTGTTTCAGAAGTTGGTGAAAATTGAAGATGTGGCAGATGTGGCAGTGTCCTTTATCCTGGAGGAATGGGGACATTTGGATCCGGCCCAGAAGTCTTTGTATAGGGACAGCAGGAAGGACAATTATGGGAGGATTACTTGCATGGGTAAGAAGAATGATCACACTGCATGGACTTAAGGCATCTTCATTTTGTTATCTTGTAAACAATGTTTCTATCACATGCTACAAAAGCAGATATGTTTCTACTGCCGATACTTTTCTTTTTCTTTTATCTTTTTTTTTTTTTTCATCCCTTGTGGAGCAAACTCTGGGCCTGGGCGCTGTCCCTCAGCTCTTCAGCTCAAGGCTAGTGAGCCACAGCGCCACTTCTGGTTTTTTCTGCTTGTGTGGTGCTGAGGAATCGAACCCAGGGCCTCATGCATGCAAGGCAAGCACTCTACCACTGAGCCATCTTCCCAGTCCCTACTTTGATTTTTCTGTGAGAGTAAATCATCGTCAATCTTTTTCCTACACAGCTTATTCTGATTATTTCTATTGTAATGAGAATATGATTGAAGATTGATGGTACATGAGCTAGTTTTTTTTTAATTTTTAAAAAATTATCTTAATTTAAGTAGTTGTACAAAGAAGTTTCAACTCCACAAATAAGTATGATGCATTTTTTTTTTTAGTCATGGGCCTGAACTTTGGGCCTGGGTGCTGTTCCTCAGCTCTTCAGCTCAAGGCTAGCACTTTACCACTACAGCCACAGCACCACTTCCAGCTTTTTCTTCTTATGTGGCGCTGAGGAATCGAACCCAGAGCCACATGTGTGGGAGGCAAGCACTCTACCACTGAGCCACCTTCCCAGCCCAGTATAATGCATTTTATCTTGGTCCAATGTCGCTCCTTCTTCTGTGCTCCTTTGCAGTGGATAGTGTTGATAAATGCTTAAAATAAATCGATTTTAGTTTTAATTTTAGCAGTTAATATATCCCTTGAAAGTTGGATAGTTCTTTTTTTAAACTATTGCTATTATTATAATTATTACTAGTATTTTAGCTTTGGCTGCTAGATGGAGGCTCTCTTTAGCCTTTTGTTGTTGTTCATTTGTTTTGATCAGTGTTGGGGATGGAACTTCTACTCCCCAAGCAAGCCAGTCTATCGTTTGAGTCATGTCCCCAGTCCACCTTTAGTTTATTTGGGGGATAGGGATGGTGACATTTCTATGTCTGCCTCCCAAGTAGTCGGGACCACGAAAGTCAGCTACACCAGTCGGCCAGGTCATTTTACAAGGTCGTGCCGTCCTTGCCCTTGTCCACTTACTGCTCTTGTGCCCCTCCTCCATTTTCGGGCCGGCTTCAGTCGTGGCTGACTTGCCGGTCTCCCCTCCTTTCCTTCAGATTATGAGTCCAAGGACGCTGTGGAGCTCGTGGTGAAGCAGATTTCCGAGGAGGCCGAGTCGCACTGGATGGCTGCCGCGGGGCCAGCCGGCAGCGGCTCCCCGGGCGGGGAGGGGGTGGTGCAGAGGTGGCAGGTCAGCCCCCCCGCGGGGAGGTCGCGGCACTCTGCGCCCCCCAAGCCCGGCCTTGGCACTGGCCGAGTCAGCGGCGCTGGAGGCGGTGGGGAGAGAGGCCACCGGTGCAGCGACTGCGGGAAGTTTTTCCTGCAAGCCTCCAACTTCATTCAGCACCGGCGCATCCACACCGGCGAGAAGCCGTTCCGCTGCGGCGAGTGCGGGAAGAGCTACAACCAGCGCGTGCACCTGACGCAGCACCAGCGCGTGCACACGGGCGAGAAGCCGTACGCATGCGCCGTGTGCGGCAAGGCCTTCCGCGTGAGCTCGCACCTGGTGCAGCACCGCAGCGTGCACAGCCGCGAGCGGCCCCACGCCTGCGCCCAGTGCGGGAAGCGCTTCGGCCGCCACTCGCACCTCGTTGAGCACCTGAAGCGCCATGCCAGGGAGAAGGCCCAACGGTGTACGCTCGCGGGAGGGGTGTGTGTGGGGACGGGTGGTGGACGGACAGACGGACAGACGGATGGAGCTGCCACCGCCTCATCCGGACCCCACCCCACTGCCAGGCAAAGATGCCAGCCCGTGCACCTCTTCCCTTGTACTCCGATCCCCTGGTCACCCCTGCCTACAGCCCGCCCTTCCCCAGGGCCTTCTGCCTGTGGCTCATAGGGCTCTGCTCTGGCGCTGCTGTTGCTGGAACCTTTTGCATATGATCTGCGACCTTGCTTGTCCTACCAAATTAGATTCACTTACTCCAGTCACTCACTTTATTTTAGAATGATAAAGTAGCAGTATTGAGGTAAGACTGAAGGAAAGAAAGAAGAAAAGGTCTCCCACGACCCCTAACCAATAGCACTACTGTCATGTAGTATTTCCTTCTCGGTCCTCAGGATCCCATTTTACCAGGCTGTGCTCACAGGGTGCTGTCACTCAACATTTTCCAGTGGGTCTCAGCCCTTCTGTTGCTTATTTTTCACCATCTTGCCACCATGGGTGACATTACAACCTATTATCCAGCTGTTCCCGTGTTGAACTTTTTTTTTTGACTTGATAACTGTGTTTTCCTGACAGATTTTCGTATAATTAGGATTTTTCCTTATATTAGACCCCAGAAGTAGGATTAGGCCTGGGAGCAGTGGCTCACTCCTGTAATCCTAACAGTTCAGGATGCTGAGATTTGAGGATCTCAGTTCAAAGCCAGCCCCAGGGCAGGGAGGTCCATGAGATTCTTACCTCTAATTAGCCACCAAAATATAAGAAGAGCTGTGGCTCAAGTGGTAGAGTGCTAGCTTTGAGCACAAAAGCTTAGGGATTGTGCCCAGGCCCTGAGTTCAAGCCCCAGATTCAGCACACATGCGCATAAAAATAAGTTGAATAAACAGAAGAAATTTCTTTGTTCAAGAAAAATTGGTTTTAAATTTTTGGCATCATTCATGGCTTAATAATTGAGTATTAAAAGATCACAATACCATTTACAGTGATCTCTTCCATATATGTTTAATGTCACTTAGGGAAAAAATGGAAATTACTCAGAGTTCTCCATAATGAAAATAAATTTTTTTCTTTTTTATTTTTTTTGTCAGTCATGGAGCTTGAACTTTCTGAATACTGTCCCTCAGCTCTTCAGCTCAAGGATAGCGCTCTACCACTTGAGCCACTGCACCACTTCCAGTTTTCTCAGTGGTTGAATGGAGATAAAAGTCTTACTGACTTTCCTGCCTGGGCTGGCTTTGAATCACAATCCTCAGATTTCAGCTTCCTAAGTAGCTAGGATTACAGGTGTGAGCCACGGGTGCCTGGCCTGAATAAATTTCTTCTACTTATTCAACTTGTTAATTAAAAAAAAAATAACCCTGGGCATAGCAAACCCCAGTATTAAATAAAATTGATACGAATAGCCCAAGCCTAGCTGTTCAAGTACCCTTTCATGATATAGAAATTGAGTTTTGTGATGTGTTACAAGTTCTGTGTTGATCTGGGCTCTCAGCCAGGTTTATCCCATTCTGTTGGGAAATCCACCCAAACGCTCTGGACTTGAAAAGCAATCTGGTAGTATAGGGGTTTGAACTTGGGACCTTGCGCTTGCTAGAGTGGTGCTCTACCACAGGAGCCATGCTCCATCCCAGCTTTTGGCTGTTTACTTAGAGATGACCGGCTTTGAACTGCTATCTCAGTCTCCTGAGTAGTTAGGATTGCAGGCCTGGCTTAAAATACTATCTTTTATATCTTACTTGCAATTGTGGCTGATTTCCCAGTTAATACTCCTCCCCCCCCCACACACACACTTTTTTGTGTGGAGCACTTTACATCCAGCTGTTTTGTTCTTTGAACCTCTAATGCTAGGTTCTCAAGGTCTGGCAGTGATCAGAACAAACCCTGGTTGAGTCCTCATGGTGGAGTAGCTGACAGGAAAGGCCGTGAGCACTCCCTAGGTGAAGTGTGAGGTGGTGTGTGCAGGAAACTGAAGCAAAACACCAGCTCAGAGTAAAGAGAGCAGGGATTGCTACATGTATCATTTGTCCTCTTGTCAGTATTTGTGTGTGTGTCTGTTTTAATAAGATTTGAATGCAGAACCTCAGTCTTAGCTAGGTAAGCCTTCTACCATTTGATCCATGCCCCAATTTTTTTTTTTTTTTGTTTTTTGTTTCAAGATAAGTTCTCATGATTTTGCCAGAGCTAGCCATGGACCAGCCTCAGACCTTGATCCTCTTTTTTTGTTTGTTTGTTTGTTTTTTGGTCTGGTCGTAGGGCCTGAACTTTGGGCTTGGACGCTGTCCTTAAGCTCTTCAGCTCAAGGCTAGCTAGCGCTCTACCACTTGAGCCACAGTGCCACATCCGGTTTTTTTCTTATGTGGTGCTGAGGAATCGAACCCAGGGCCTCTGGCATGCAAGGCAAGGGCTCTACCACTGAGCCACCTTCCCAGCCCCAGACCTTGATCCTCTTACCTCTTGAGTAGCTGGGATTTCAGAAGAACCCCACCTGACCTACTTGTTCTTGGAGTTAAAGTCTTACTAACTTTTCCTGGGCACATCAAACCATGACCCTCCTATCTTTGCCTCCTAAAGTAACTGGGATTACAAGTGTGAGTCACTGAGCCTGGCCTTGATAGTATTTTTTTTTCTGGGTCATTTCTCCCAGCTCCTGATTAGATATTCTCCCAACTCCATATTCTGTTCATAATCCTTTGCTTGTCATTCTTATGGTCTCCGTCACTTCTCTCACCATCCAGTTGTATATGTTTATTCTTCCTTATTTTTCCTGCCTACCTCATGGTGGGTTACTGAGCCACACTTCACTGAGCCACTCTCCCTCATTTCTCTCATGCCTCCCATTTCAGAATTCCATAGAGAAACCACACTTCAAAACAAAGCAAAACAAAAACTCATGTCTGTTCTTGCCTAACCTGAGTTAGTCTCATTGTGGTCAGTCTCTCACTTTTTTTTTTCCCACTGATCAAAGACCAAAAGGTTGTTCCTTTTCATTCTCCTTGACACCAAGTGCCTCCAGTATCCCCATTACTGTGTCGCATCCTAGGTTCATCTGATGATTGCCTTTTTCAAACCTGATCATTTGGTTTTTCTTCTGTGAAAGAACCAGTGATGAGCCAGGCACCAGTGCATCACACCTGTAATCCTAGCTCCTCAGGAGGTTGAGGTCTGAGGATCGCGGTTCAAAGCCAGCCTGGGCAGGAAAGTCCATGAGACTCTTTATCTCCAATAAACCACTCAGAAAACCGGAAGTGGCCCTCTGGCTCAAGTAGTAGAGGACTAGCCTTGAGCTGAAGGACAGCGCTCAGGCCCAGAGTTCAAGACCCACGACCAACAACAGGAAGTGGCACTGTGGCTCAAGTGGTAGAGCGCTAGCCTTGAGCTGAAGAGCTGAGGGACAGCGCCCAGGCCCAGAGGTCAAGCCCCACGACCAACCAAAAAAAAAAAAAAAACCACCGATGGCCCATGCATGTGCTCTTTGCTTTATTTTTAGGTGGTGACAAGAGAGCCAAGAACACGAAGCTGAGCGTTAAGAAGAAAATGTCAGACTTTGCAGCCGCCGACACGGAACTGTCGGGGAAAAGCCAAAGAGACACCTCTGAAGTTCGAAATCTGGGAGACGGCTATGATCCCCAAGGCCCAGGGGAGAGAACGCCGGGGCTCCCTAGGAAAGAGCTCCCAGGACAGCCCCCGACAAAGAGGATGCACGGCGGCGACGTCCCCAAGAAGCTGTCCCCCGCCGGAGAGAGGCCCCACAAATGCGGGGACTGCGGGAAGAGCTTCATCCAGAGCGCCCACCTCATTCAGCACCGGCGCATCCACACCGGCGAGAAGCCGTTCCGCTGCGACGAGTGCGGGAAGAGCTACAACCAGCGCGTGCACCTGACGCAGCACCAGCGCGTGCACACGGGCGAGAAGCCGTACGCATGCGCCGTGTGCGGCAAGGCCTTCCGCGTGCGCTCGCACCTGGTGCAGCACCAGAGCGTGCACAGCGCCGAGCGGCCCTTCAAGTGTCCCGAGTGCGGGAAGGGCTTCGGCCGGCGCTCGCACCTGGCCGGCCACCTGCGGCTGCACTCCCGCCAGAGGTCCCACCAGTGCCTCGAGTGCGGGGAGATCTTCTTCCAGTACGTCAGCCTCATCGAGCATCAGGTGCTGCACGTGGGCCCGAAGAAGGAAACCCACGGCCCCGGCGAGGAGGCTCCGGGCTGGAACCTCACGGTGACCGACGAGAAGAAGGTGGAGCTGGAGGCGCAGCCATACCAGTGCGACGTGTGCGGGAAAGCCTTCCCGCACCCGCCCGACCTCATTCAGCACTACAGGACTCACACGGTGGAGAAGGCCCGCAGGTGCGCCGCGTGCAGGGAAGGCGCGGGCCCGTGCCCCCACGCCAAGCCACCCCCGAAAGTCTGCGTGAGCCCCAAACCCCATCAGTGTCCCGAGTGCGGGAGGGGCTTCGCCCTCAAGTCCCATCTCAGCCAACACCAGAGAATCCACACTGGCGAGAAGCCCTTCCAGTGCAAGGAGTGCGGGGTGAGCTTCAGCTGGAGCGGAAGCCTCCTGAAGCACCTGAGAAGCCATGAAAGGACAGACCCCAGGAGCCCCTTCAGCGTCTAGGCCTGCGCTCCCGCACACAGCTCCCCACACGTCATCTCCCCCGCACAGCCATCCAACCGTCCCCTGTGGGTGTGGTGAAACTGTGCCGTGAGAACTCAGCCGTTCATTACCCGCCAGTTGTCCACCAGAAATCAATCCCTGCTGGCTTTCCAGAAGTGTCCTCCCCAAGCCACCAGAAGAACCTCTGGATGGTGGATGAAGGAAAGCCTTCCGGATGGTACTCATTGCTTATGTGGAACTCAGAAAATTGACACGTGAATGCAGTAGAAATAAGCTTTATTTGTAGTTTCTGCCTTCTTTTTGGACAGTGTATCTATTCAGGGAAGAGTGAAGGAAAGAACTCCTTAGCATGATATCCGTCTGGGTACCTCAGCAATGAACCTTTTCTAGAATGCTCCATTGTTCCCATCTTGAGTATTAAATCCTTTGAAGAGAAATTGACTTCAGGTATTTATTTTATTTAGCGAAATGGGAGTTCAGAGGCCTGATGGGATGTGGTTCCTGCTTGCCTCAGTCTTTACCCTCCATGAAACCCTGACTTCTTTTCATTTTGATTGTTCTAGAACAAGGCTAGCTGGTAGAAAGAGGAGTGTTAATTTGTTAATTAAGAAACAGTGCTACAGGTTGGTCAGAACATAAGTCAGGAGAGAGGGACCTGAGGAGGCAGAGAGGAGAATAGACATACAAAGCTATGGAATGGAGTATAGTACAAGAAGGAGACAAGTGTGTGAGTTGTGCCTCAGTTGGTAGAGCACTAGCCAATAAGCAAAAGCATCAGGTACAAACTTCAGGTCCCACCCATGACACATCCCCACACACACCAACAGTTCAGGTCCCAGTCTTGAACCAAAAAGGAGAAGGCAGTAAATTCCACAGAAGGAATGGGACAAAGTTGAATTAAAGACTTGGTCTGTGCAGCATGTGGTACCTTGGGAAGGCCTCCCATGTAAGGAGATGGTATCTACAGTGAGTTTCAGTTTATGTCACATCTAGACCAGAGAGGGATGTGTTTCAGCATTGCCGTTTGGGAACATCTTGGTAGGATTTTTTTTTTGGGGGGGGGTCTGGTCGTGGGGCCTGAACTCGGCTTGGATGCTGTCCCTCAGCTCTTCAGCTCAGGCTAGCGCTCTACCACTTGAGCCACAATGCCACTTCCGGCTTTTTCCTTTTTGCTTATGTGGTGCTGAGGAATTGAACCCGGGGCCTCATGCTGCAAGGCAAGTGCTCTACCACTGAGCCACCTTCCCAGCCCAGTAGGATTTTTTTTTTTTGGAGACACATCTTCACTCTGCAGCTCCACTGACTTAGAAGTCTATATAGCCCAGACTATCCTCTAATTGATGGCTTCTTACTGCCTCAGCCTCCTGAGTGCTGCGATTACAGATGTGCACTGCTATATCTGGCATCAGTCAGAAATTTGTGGGGGGAAAGTTGAGGTGGTTGGGAGCATGGACTTGAGCTTGTTTGCTAGAGAGAGTGCTTCTAGACCCTCCTAAATCCCTGCTCCTTCTGGTATTGCCTGGTGCAAAACTAGTGCCCATTTGGTACTTGTGATCTTCTGTGTGTGTTATCATGGTGCCTTGACTAGACCTTAGCTGCTAAGTGCTCACACCTGGCCTTCTGAATCTGGGGGAAATTACCTTCATAAGGTAGGAACTGCCTTGTACAGTTCTTCCTCCAAGCCACTCTGCAGTGACTGACTGATAAGAGGCACAAAGGCTGAGTCATTTGCTGCCTTGAGAAGGGACGGAAATCCTGGTGCAGTTTGTATTCCAAATCTTCTTGAAATCAGTCCACACCCATGCTTGCTTTGTCTTCCCTGTCCTCTCAGCACCTCTTGAATCGAAGTGTTTCCTGAAGAGTTACTAATAGTAAATCACATGGCTCTGCATCCCAGCCTAAGGCTCTACCCTAGAGGACCCAGTGGTGTTGGACAGCTGATGTACTTTACCTGAATGACTCGTTTAGTTGTTCTCCAGGAGACCAGTGAGACCTCCATTAATGAGGATGGGTTGAGTGTTGCTAGTCCTTGGTAGCCACTGACAATCACTTATGGACTGGGATGCTAAATAGGTAGAAGAGGATGAAGTGACTGGCGTAAGGTTTAGGACAAAGAGGAAAATAATATAAGAATTAGAGAATTTCCTGTCGCTGGTGAGTTACACCTGTAATCCTAGCTACTCAGGAAGCTGAGATCTGAAGATAGTGGTTCCAAATCAGCCTGAGTAGAAAAGTTAGCTAACACACACACACACACAACCTGGGCTGAAGGCATGGCTCAAGTAGTACACAGTACCAGCCATGGATGGAAAAGGCTGGAAGAGAGCATGAAATTCAAATCCCAGTACCAGCACCAAAAGAGAGGAAGAAGGGCTGGGAAGGTGGCTCAGTGGTAGAGCGCTTGCCTTGCATGCCTGAGGCCCTGGGTTCGATTCCTCAGCACCACATAAGCAAAAAGAAAAAAAGCCAGAAGTGGCGCTGTGGCTCAAGTGGTAGAGCGCTAGCCTTGAGCTGAAGAGCTGAGGGACAGTGCCCAGGCCCAGAGTTCAGGCCCCACGACTGGACCCAAAAAAAAAAAGAGAGGAAGAAGGGATTTTCAGAATCATGTGGCTCTGCGCAACCCCACTAACTCCGGGGGGGAAAAGAGTACCATTCTAGTGATCAACCTAGCGTCAGCCTGATGAGTGACAGCTTCAGAAGGCTCCTGGGCGGGGTCTTCATCCGGGGCTTTCATCCGGGGCCCTCATCCGGGGCCCGCCGGAAGTGACGCCGGGAAGCGCAGTCCTCCCGGCAGTCTAGAGCGGCTCTGAAAAGGCTGGCGTGGCCGACGAACGAGTGAGTGTGTCGGTGACGGGACGGTCGCCGGTGCCGCCTCTGCGCTCGGGTGAGTCTTCCGGAAGCCGTTGTGGCGTCGCCGCCGTGGGAGCAGGCCCTGCTTTTGAGTCCCTGAGAGGAGGAGGAGGAGGCGGCGGCCGGCCTCGGCTGACGTGTGTGGGAACGCGGAGGCCCAGGCGGCCGGGCCTGGTTTTCTCTTCCGTCCTGGTTAGTCCCGAAGCCCCGGGGACCCAGAGCTCGGCGCTCAGGACCGGGTGCCCGAGCCCTGGCCTGAGCTGCGTCCGCACGGCCCGCTCGGACGCTGCGCTTTCTCGCTTCTGAAGGGGAAGTGGGAGGCGGGCGGCGCCGGGCGAGGCCCTGGGAGGGCCTGACTGGGAGCGGGCGAGGGCTGGGTGCGGAGGACCGGGCCCCGTTACGTCCTTGGGTTTGAAGGACATCACTCAACCCGATCGGAATCGTAGCTCTTGCAGACTGTCCACTCAGCCTAACGAAGGGGCTGGCGCCTATACTGGACTTTTTATTATTAGTCCGACCTGCTTATTAATTGACGGTGTGCTGGCGGCATTACTAAATTCCTAAAGGGCCTGCCTTGGGGGCGGGGGGGGGCGCGGAGAAAAACAATGAGTAATCATAACTGACTTGGTTCTCTTGAGAACACACTGGAGCCTCCAGAGAAGGTTGCAAATTCCCAGATACTTAAAACTTTCTCCGAAAAGCCTTACACTGTTGAACTGATGTGTTGATTTTTTTTTTTCCCTTAAAGGAAAAATCACAATGCTAGTGTGCTGGTGCACGCCTATAATCCCAGCACAAGGGAGGGTGAGTGGGAGGGGGAGCCAGAGTTCCAGGCCTAGACCCAGCAGAGCCCCTGTCTTGGAAAACCAAAACCAACAACTCCAACAAAAACAAATAGCAACAAAAAAGCTACAAGTTCAAATTTCTTAGAGTTGAAATAATGTCGGACATTCTCATTTGGATCTTAAGTATTTAAAATGGAATAATATCCTTCCCCCTCTCCAAATTTTGGGTGGTTTATTGGGATTAATTTTGAACAGTATATAAAGATACTTTGCTAAGTCCTGAGTAATTATGGGATATTTTAACTTACAACAATAATTTCTCCTAATTTCACCCTGCAGTGATGCTCATTGACCTCCTGGATAGGGATGGAGGAAATATCAACTGAGGAAACAGCAGGATCATCAAGGGTCCAGTTTCAGTCTTTGGAGACCTTTGAAAGACCTGAGTGTCTTTCCCCAGAGCCTCAGTTCATGCAAGATACCAACATGGAACAGGGACTCATTGGGGGTAAGACAGAGCTGGTACTTACATCGTGGGCCTGGTATGAGTCCAGAGCCTTGAATAAGAAGATGGCCCTTAGAGGGAGGACTGGACAGGAGGGGCAGTTATAGCTCAGCTCCTTCTTGACCCTTCTACTAAGCCTGGCTCATCTTGCTTTAATGTCAGAGTAGTAGTCACTTGCTCTGCTCTGGCTGTTTGTCCTTCAGAAAACCTTCCCTTTGTCCCAGTTGCCACATCCAGAATAATTCCTCAGATATGCTGCTTTTGCCATATCTCACAGTCCTTGACTGACTTTGGCTTCCTCTTAAATTCACCCCCTTTACCTCCTGTTCCCTTCATTTAGTTTCTCTTTCCTTGTGACGTTTTGTGCTTTGCCTCTGCCATTCTGTTGCAGCTGCAGTGTTTGTAACATATCTAATTTTTGACAAGCAACTTTTTTTGGGGGGGGGGCTGCTTGCTGGTCCTGGGGCTTCAACTCAAGGCTTAGGTGCTGTCCCTGAGCTTTTGTGCTCTGCCACTTGAGCCAAAGCTCCACTGTGGGTTTTTGGTAGTTAGAGATAGTCTCACAGACCTTTCCTACTCAGACTGGCTTTGAACTGCCATCCTCATATCTCAGCCTCCTGAGATTACAGAGACATGAACCACCAGCTCCCAGCAAGAAAACAACCATTTAAGTCCTTGGATGAGCATAATGCCTGTTTGGATTTATATATGTTACATATTGACCATGCAGTCACATGTTAGTATATAAATAGGTTGGTCAGGTTTTTTTTTTTTTCCCCCTGTTTTTGACAGCTGGTTCCTAGATTGCTGTGGCCAGCTCCAGTACTTGAAGTAACTTGTGTGTCAGCAACACTGTGGAGTGCCATGAGGTGGAGTGGGGGCGGGGGGGCGGGCATTGAGAAAGGATCATTCCTGTTTCTCGAAGCTTTACATACTGATTGCAGAGACAGTGCTCATTGACAAATGGCCTAGATAAGTCATTACACATCCACATCTTTATGCTTTGCTTTGCTCATGTACCAAGACAGGTACAGGACTTACTCTTCTGTAAGAAGAATATCATTCATGAGGATAGTAGTAAAATCCTGTATCATAGGACTAAATGTGTAAGTGGGAGCTAGTAGGAGGGGCAGCAGGCATGCCCAGTACCTGAGAAGTGGTTCATTAGAACATTTGACATGAAGGAGGGTCCCATTGACACCCCTTATGCTTCTTCTGAAAGGGAGCCCTAGGAAAGGGCTGCTCTCACTCTTGGCTCCTTTCTCCTCCCTCAGCTCCATCTGTTCTGCAGGTACCTGCTCTTCCCCATGAGGGAAGCCCAGGAGACCAGGCAGCTGCACTCCTGACAGCCAGGTACCAGGTGAGCTGAGGAACCCTCTGCTTTTCCTCAGGGACTGTGGTTGCTGCTTGAGTGTGGCCTATCCCTCATCCTATCTGTGAACCTTGCGTGGATTTATTTATTTATTTTTTCAGTAGCAGACCTCAGGTGTGGCATTGTTCCTCTTTGGAGACCTAGACCTTATGTAAACCTCTTTACCATCTCCCAACATCACCTTTGTCCATGATATTGTGATGGGCATGTATTAGATGTTAAGGGATTTATACCTTAGCTTCTCTCCATCCCTCCTCCCCAACATAAACACACACCAAATACCATCTCTGTTCTCATCTTCACTCTCTGGTCATGGTGCTGCATTGGCCTTATTCCCCAGACCATCCAGGATGTATTATTTCAGGAGTTTGTGACATTCGAGGATGTGGCTGTACACCTTACTCGAGAGGAATGGGGATGCCTGGACCCTGTTCAGAGGGATCTCTACAGAGAAGTGATGTTAGAGAATTATGGGAACGTGGTCTCACTGGGTAAGGACCAGCTTTCTTATTATGCAAATTACCTATTTCTGAGTAGGTTTATGATCTCTGTGATCTCTGAGGTCAGTAGAGTGTGGCTTAGATTTCAGGTTTTAGAGCCTCTGAATCCTCTATCTTTAAGGTCATCTCCTATGGGAGGGGAACTAAAATTCCTTTGGAGTGTCAAGAAGACATTTTACTCTTTATCCCCAGTTCATGTTTCCTGTTTTGTGGGACATCCGTTCCTTGTTAGGAAAGGAAAGCTTGTTTGTGCTTTGCCTAAGTTCTCACCTTTTCTCTTTTTTTTTTTTATGAGAGATCTGAATGTCTTCCCAACCCCCAGCTAGATTCTTTTCCTCTTATATATCAGTGCCCCTGTGTCTGAAAATTTTCCACTGAAGAAAAATACCTTTTTAAAAAGATAAGCTAAAATCTCTCTCATTTCTTAAGATCCCTAAGTTCATCTCTAAGTAGGGAAGTTTGAGAGACTTCATTTAAAGGCATGACTCACTGAGTAGTTTTCAGTGAGTCACCTAAATGGTAATCCTAAATAACCACACCCAGGCCAGCAGAAGTCTCACATGTTTACCCCACTCCTTGCATCACTCTGAGATGGGGTAAATCCTTCCACCACATCTCTCTTGTAAGTCTGAATAGTGCAGTAGGCAGCTGAAATTAGGCAAACCTATGTGCTGCTGAGAAGTATTGGAGGGGGTTGTTGACAATCTCCTTGAGGTGAGCATTGTTTTTTCTCTTTTGTTTTTTGGCCTGTCTGCTTTTGCACTCTTGTGAATGTGTGTATACTTGCTCACTCTCTTCTTGGGCCTCCTCCCCCTTTTTTAGTTTGCCTATTTTGGTGACATCTAGGACACTTTTTCTCTTCTTGATTACACGTAGGGTTCAAGAGGTCTTCTTGTGGGGAAGCAGTTTGCCCACCGGGAAGGTTTTTAGTGTGTTTCCCATTCGTGGTTCTTTGATCTTTGTAGGCATACTTCTCCGCCTTCCCACCACCCGGATTCATTGTGTGAATTCCTGCCCAGCCCTGAGTCATACCCAGGCTTGTGCTTTCTCTGGAGAAACACTTGCAGTCCTTACGGCAGGAATCTCCAAGAGGTGGCCCAAGTGTCGGCTTTCCATCGGTAGTGCACGTGCCTGCTCGGGAACTTCTTTTCCACAATTGTGAGATTAAGCTTGTTTCCTGGAGTGGATGCTCCTCAGGATGCCACCACTCTGTAAAGTTGCAACTGCTCAAATGACCGGTGTTAAGTTTCTAACTCGAGGGGTGAAGGAAGACTTCCGTGCAACCAGCTGCAGATTGAACCCAGCTTCTTTGGAAACCATGCTTGGTAGTCAGCTGCTTTGTTCTGAAAAACACCAACTTCACCCCCATTTCTTCAGTTATGTTCTTTTCATGTTAGAGTACGGAACATGGGTCCTCCTTTTCAGTAGTGAACATGTCCTGCCCCTTGTGTGGCCACACTGTCTTGTGACTCTTGGACTTTCTTCATGTTTCACATCATAGTTTTCTCCTTCCTTCAAGGTTCTGCCCTTGGTTCTTTGTAGTGCCCTACAGATTGGCATGTTTATATTGCCTTTCCCAATTCAGTGTTCCTTAATGCTGTCTTAATGGAGGGGAAGCTGGAGAGTTAAGAAAAAAATTAAGACTTTTATTTCAGGGCATCAAAATGAATGTATATTTAATAACTTTGTAAACTGTAAAGCGATACATATATAATTGTAAACTACTGTTGATTTTACCTATTAATTACAGAATTTCCAACCATTAACTTGTCTACTTCTTGGTGTAAAGAAAGTTGGTATCAGTTTAACAAAGCCTAATAGCCCAAGAATCTACCAAACTAGACTTTATTCTTTTTTCCTGCCATCTGTGCATACACACTGGATACAAATGCACACTCATACAAATGCAGCCCTCCTACTCAGCTCACTTTTGTGACCAAGTCAGTGACATCTTAGCAATTTATTTTTGTGTATGTGCACATGCCAGTACTAGGGCTTGAAGTCAGGGTCTGGATGCTGTCCCTTGTCATTTTCACTCAAAAGACTGTCAAGCTGCCACTGGAACCAGAGCTCTACTTCTGGCTTTTTGATAGTTAATTGGAGATGAGTCTCATGTCCTTTCCTGCCTGGGCAGGCTTTGAACCTTGATCCTCAGATCTCAGCCTTCTGAGAAGCTAGAATGACAGGCATGAACCACCTGTCGGTTCCTTAGCAATTATTTCTACAGTTCTTGGGAAGTCATTTTCATATGTGAGTTCTGCGCTACTCCACCCAAAGTTTAAGGTTATATGTTTGTCATTTTATTTCTTGTTTAGAATTGTGAATAGGACTGCATAATTAAGTTTGACTTAAGCAGTCTCACTTTCTTGAAAATCAGATATTAAGTGCTATTTATTATCAAATTTAAGAAGAACCATATTCTGTGGACAATGAATGAACAGCTGACTTGAAGAGTTATACCCAAATGGGAGTTATCCGTGAGTTAATCCTAGAGAGTGAGACCTGGGAAAAGGGCTGGAATGTATTTCACATGTGTCATTGTGGCAGGTGTCCTGGTGTTAGAAATATGCTTATTGTAATTCTAGTTGAAAAATGAATCAGTAGATTGTGTTTCCCACATCTTTCCTATTGTTTTTTTTGTTTTTGTTTTGTCAGTTGTAGGGCTTGAACTCAGGGTCTGGGTACTGTTACTGAGCCTCCTTGTGCTGAAAGCTAGTGCTGTACCATTTGAGCCACAGTTTTCTGTGAGTTAATTGGAGATAAGAGCTTCATGGGGACTTTCCTGCTAGGGCTGGTTTCGAAATGTGATCCTCAGGTCTCAGCCTCCTGAGTAGCTAGGATTACAGGCGGGAGCCACAAGGGCCCAGCTCTCCTATTGCTTTTTGAAATTGATGTCATGGAGGACAAGTGATTTTCTATAAGATGTTTTCTACTGAGATGGTTGTTTCCTATTTATACGTGGTACTAGATATCAAAGTTCTGTGAGCAGAGGACATTATTATTATTTTATAGCTGAGAAAACTGAGGCTCAGAGAAGTTACCTTTACAGGGTCAGTAGGTTTGGGATCCAAATCTGTCCTTTTATGATAGTAGGTCCAACTGCATATGGCAGTTTTGTTTTTTGTTTTTGTTTTTTTTTTTGTCGGTCGTGGGGCTTGAACTCTGGGTCTGGACGCTGTCCCTCAGCTCTTCAGCTCTAAGCGAGCGCTCTACCACTTGAACTACAGCGCCACTTCCAGTTTTCTGGTGGTTTATTTGAGATAGGAGTCTCACGGTCTCTCCTGCCCTGGCTGGCTTTGAACCGCGATCCTCAGATCTCAGCCTCCTGAGTAGCTAGGATTACAGGCATGAGTCACCAGCACCCGGCTTGTTTTTGTTTTTGTTTTTTGTTGGTTGTGGGGCTTGAACTCTGGGCTTGGGCGCTATCCCTGTACTCTTCAGCTCAAGGCGAGCGCTCTACTGCTTGAGCCACAGTGCCACTTCTGTTTTCTAGTGGTTTACTGGAGATAAGAGTTTCACGGAATTTTCTGCCCGGGCTGGCTTTGAACCGTGATGCTCAGGTCTCAGCCTCCTGAGTAGCTAGGATTACAGGCATGAGCCACCAGCTCCTGGCTCATGTTTGAGTATTTTTAATGTGTTGTCTCTTCTGATGGCAAGAAAATTCAAAATGACCATAACAAATTGGGCAGACAGGCCAATTCATACAGTGTGAGAACAGAAGGGACCTGCATTCGAGAAGTATTGCTGCCTACCAGGTAGCTACATAAGAATGCAGTTGCTAAGTAGAGTTTTCACTTGCATATTTATTAAGGACCAAGAAAAGCATGATGCTTCCAGATGGCTAAATCTTGTCTTATGTTAAATACTTTGGAGAGCACAGCAAATGAAATGTAGACCAGATTTTCTAAGACAAACACAAAAGGAACATGTTTATGTTACTTTATACTGTTAATTTCCTCAAGTTAGATTTTGCTTAAGACCATTCTACCGGTATGAATTTTCAATATAAGAAATTTGCATTTCTTTGTCATAAAATAGCCAATTAGATACTTTTAAATATAATTTCTATGACTCCAAATTCTAAGAATTCTGGCTTTTTTTTTTTTGGTCAAGACAAGAGGAGGCTGGAAATCAGCCAGGGACCTCTTGCAAGTACTCTATAACTGAGTTGTGCTCCTACCCCCTAGCTCTCCCATATTTTGTGCTAAGACTTTTTGTTTTTAATCTTTTGTTGTTGTTGTTGGTCATGGGGCTTGAACTTGGGCTTGGGCAGTGTCCCTCAGCTCTTCAGCACAAGGCGAGTGCTCTACCATTGAGCCACAGTGCCACTTCCAGTTTTCTGGTGGTTTATTGGAGATAAGAGTCTCATGGACTTTCCTACCAGGGCTGGCTTTGAACTGTGATCCTCAGATCTCAGCCTCCTGAGTAGTTAAGATTACAGGTGTGAGCCACCAGCACCCAGCTCTTTTTTTTTTTTTTTTGGTCATGGGGCTTGAACTCTGGGCCTGAGTGCTGTCCCTCAGCTCTTTTGCTCAAGGCTAGCACTCTCCCACTTGAGCGTAGAATCACTTCTGGTTTTTCTGGTAGTTAATTGGAGATAAGAGTCTCATGGACTTTCTTGCCCAGGCTGGCTTTAAACCGTGAGCCTCAGACTCAGCCTCCTGAGTAGCTAGGAATACAGGCTTGAGCCACTGGTGCCCAGCTATTTTAATCTTTTATCAATGTTTGTTTTCTCTTCTTTATTCATCAACTAAAAAATTGGGTTTATTTTATAGTCATCATTTTATGCTATAGTCGAGTGTTTAAAAGCCAAGTTCTGAAGTAAGACTGGGTTGGAATCCAAGCTTCAGCAGTTACTCTGACCTTGGGGAAGTTGTCCATTGTTGTCCCTCCTAAAGTTATGGTGAGTATTTAATAAGTAAAAAACTTAATACTCTTGATATTGTGCCTTATACCTACTGAGTATTTTGTAAATAATATTGTAATATATGGATGGTTGTGACCCATAAGTGTATATATCTAAAAGGCACTCTTAACCTCTTCTAACTGCCTTTTAGGCATTTTCTCTCACACTTTGCATTGCCTTTAACAAATCTAAAAACCAACTTCTTATCCCACATGAGGACTGCCTGATGCCTTTGTATTTTCAGTGTAACTACATGAAATACTAAAAAACACCTTAGTAAATACCCCAAAAGTTAAAAGTTACAAAATATACTGCTAGAATTCTGAGTCTTCCATGTCATGCTATTTTTTAAGCTTTTTTCAGTACTGGGGATTCACCAATGGCTATGTGCACAGCAAAACTTTTGACCCAAAACATTAATATGTCCAAAGGAAAAGTGACTGTCAATCCCAGCTGGGATTCAGAATTGTAGTAAATGCCTTTTATGTGTTCTGATCTCCTTGCATATGGGGTCTTATGTGGGATCCCAGGCTATCGGTCTATCATGCTTGCTGGTCCAAAATACCATTTTTATAAAATTGAAATGCTGTCACACTTTGACACTTGCACATATGTAGCTGTTGAGTAAATTAATCAAAAGAAGTGCAAGGTACATGGTCCTGACTATCAACAAGTATAAACTGAGTGGGGATGATAATGTCTAAAGCCAATTTGTAAAAATCTGTAAATATTATATAGTGACATGTCAGGGTAAGGGGAAAAAATTTATAGTCACTGAATAAATATCTTTTTGGAGGTTAAGGGCTCATAGAAGATCTTGTATGTGTACTGTCTGGACTCAAAACTTCTCTGACAGGCAGGAAAGTCCGTGAGACTTAACTCAAATAAAACACCAGAAAACCAGAATTGGCTCTTTGCCTCAAATGGTAGAGTGCTAGCCTTGAGCTGAAGAGCTCAGGAACAGTGTCCAGGTCCAGAGTTCAAGCCCCACGACCAACAGAAACAAAACAAAACTTCTCTGGGCTATTAGAATAATACCAAAGTTTTGTTCTCTTAGAATCAGACTACCTGTTGCTTTAGTGCAAGAGATGAGGTCCTTGCAGACCTTTAGGCAAGTCATAGAAAAATTGTTTTCTGTGCCGATATACTTTTTCTTTTGTGCTGGTACTAGGGCTTGAGGTGCACAACTCTGATGCGCTGCCACTTGAGCCATGTTGTAATCAGGCATTTTGTTGGTTATTGTGAAGTTTTAGAACCATGAGCCTCTCATCTCTTCCTCCTGAATATCTTAGTGAGCTATTGGTGCCCAGCTTACAATTTTTTTTGAGGGGTCATGGGGCTTGAACTCTGGGCCTGGGCGCTATCCCTGCACTCTTCAGCTCAAAGTGAGCGCTCTACTGCTTGAGCCACAGCACCACTTCCGGTTTTCTAGTGGTTGATTGGAGATAAGAGTCTCATGGACTTTTCTGCCCAGGCTAGCTTTGAACTGTGATCCTCAAATCTCAGCCTCCTCAGTAGCTAGGATTACAGGTGTGAGCTACCAGCGCCCGGCTACAGCTTATAATTTTTTATTAGTGCAAGTTAATAGTCCAAAGCAGTTTCATTGTGATATTTACATATGTACATATAATGTACTTGGATCATAATCCCCCCCCCCCCCCGCTATTACTCTTTCTTAATTTACTGCCCTTTTCTAATAGCTTTTAGTGGGTTTCATTAAGCTGTTTTCATACATACTTTGATTTTATTCTTTCCTCCCTGATCACTATTGTTTTTGTGTTCCCTTTCTGCTGACAATCTCTTTACCATGGTTCCTCCTTTTGCAGTGATCACTTTTATCATATTTCCACATTGTAGTAGTGTTGAATTGTTTACAACTGTCTCTGCAGTTAGTGTGAGATGGACTTTTTTGCACGGATCTCATCCCCTGCATGCTTGGCATATAAGATGTTCTCCAAAAATGCTTATTGAATAAGCAAAACTGTAAGCTAACTCTTGTGGACCATATTCTTTTTTCCTCATGTGCACTGAAACAAATAATTTCTTTTAAAAAACAAAAACAAAAATTTAGCTGGGAGTTGGTGGTTCATGCCTGTAATCCTAGCTACTTAGGAGGCTGAGATCTAAGGATCATGGTTCAAAACAAGCCTGGACAGGAAAGTCTGTGAGACTCTTACCTCCAATTAACCACCAGAAAACTGGAAGTGGTGCTGTGGCTCAAGTGGTAGAGCACTCACTTTGAGCTGAAGAGCTCAGGGACAGTGCCTAAGCCCAGAATTCAAGCCCCATGACCGACATAAAAAGAAAAATTGAGGCCAGGTGCCAGTGGCTCATGTCTGTAATCAGGAGGCTGAGATCCAAAGATCATGATTCAAAATATGCCTGGGCAAGAAATTCCATGATACTCTTATCTCCAGTTAACCACAAAAAAACTGGAAGTAGAGCTGTGGCTCAAGTGGTAGTGTACTAGCTTTGAGGGGGGAAAAAAAATAGAGCTCAGGGACAGTTACCAGACCCTAGTTTAAGTCCTAGGACTGGCACCAAAAAAAATTGTTTTTGTTTTTGAGATAATATTTGTATATTTTCATGGGATACTTTGATACATTGTGCTAATTCAGTAACCAAATCAGGATGATTAAACATTAATTGGTGGTGTGTATTTGTGTGTGTGCATGTGTGTGTGTGTGTGTTTATGGTGTGTGTGTTTGTGGTGTGTGTGTATGTATGTATGTACTTATACACACACACCCATGCATGAGGCAATACTAGGGCTTCAACTCTGGGCCTTGTACTCTCACTTGGCTTTTCCATTCATAGCTGGCCTGGGTAGGATAGTCTGTGAGAGTCTTATCTCCAATTAACCTCCAGAAAACCAGAAGTGATAGTGTGGTTCAAAGTGGTAGAGCACTATCCTTGAAGAAATATGAGGTTAGGGACAGCGCCCAAAGCCCTGAGTTCAAGCCCCATGACCGACCCAAAAAAAAAAGAAGAAGAAGAAAGAATTAGTGTTTTTAGTCTGTCATTAACCCTGTTGTGCAAAAGGAGAACCAGAAATACTAATTCCTCTGTGGTTTGGTGCTCCCTATTCCTTGAGGTTGGTCCTTGAAATATGTACTTTTTTTTTTGCCACAGTTTAGCTCACTGTGCTGTGTTTAGCTCACCCCTCCTACAAAAGAGCACGAATCTGAGCTCCTTGTAGAGCATCTTTGTCGTCCTTACTCTCCAAGCCTTCTGTATTAATGTCTTCTCAGAACTTCCCTTCTCTCTCTGCTAGTTATCAGTTAAAAGAAAATGTGGCTGGTGTAGCATCTGAGGATAAATTGCCACATCCCATTTCCTTTTTTATGAGCAGGATTTCCAATTTCTAAGCCTGATGAGATCACCCCGCTGGAACAAGATCTACAGGTCTTTGATCCTGAAACTAAGGATAGAGAAGTCTTAAGAGATGACTGCTCAGGTGAGTAAGGCAGAATTAATCAAATGGACTTAGGGATATAAAGTTAAGTACTGAGCCATGTTTTGGCTGCTTTGATACTCAAAACAGAGCTCTGCCTTCCTGAATGGAGAGCATCTGCTTTCTTTGCAGTTTAGGCTGATGTTTTCTGTGTGTTTTACCCCTTTGGTACAAGTAATACTTGGTCCCTATTCAAGTTGCTTGTCTAAAATTCTTTTCAACTATTTCCCTTTTATTGCCTTTGAAACACCTTGCCTAGATATTTTTTTACTCTGCAAGAAATGCCCCCCATTTCTGCCATTTTTCTCAGTCCATTTGGATCCTCTATCACTGCTCCTATTCATGCCCTTATGTCTGCTGTTAAACTTTTGTGCATGTTTTTCAGAGTAAATAAATTTTCTGATCTTCATAGATACTAAATTATTTACTTTGTTCCTATCTGGGGTTCTTTTTAAGGGCAGAGTACAGATTATATTTGAATTTTCTATTTGTATATTTGTATTTTGTATCAGATGGAGAGGCCAGAGAAGAAAACAATCTGGAAGAAGTTCATTCAGACAAAATGAGAGTAGGAAGACCCAAGCAGGATATTGCCCAAGTTCCTGAGACTAGAGAAGTACAAAAGTCTGAGGACAGATTAGAAAGGCTTCAGGAAATCCTAAGGAAATTTCTCTTTCTGGAGAGAGAGTTTAGGCAAATAACTATCAGCAAGAAAACCTCTACCAATGAGAAGAGCAGCGAGTGTAACGACCCTGAAAAGAGCTTCTGTGCCGACTCCGCTCTTGATACAGACCAGAGGGTTCTTAGAATACAGACTGTCGATGACAGTAAGTTCCACATGAACTTTAACCAAAACTCAGCTGCTGATAAACATGAACACATAAGTCTAACACAGAACTCACAAAGTAGTGAATATAAAGAAAGCATAATGGACTTCTCCCACCTTAGCAAATGGGAGAGCACACTTACCACTGAGAAACCCTACAAATGTGACATGTGCGGGAAAGCCTTCCATCAGAGCTCAGCCCTCACCAGACACCAGAGAATTCACACGAGAGAGAAACCCTACAAGTGTAAAGAATGTGATAAGTCTTTCAGTCAGAGTTCAAGTCTCAGTCGGCATAAAAGAATACACGCTAGAGAAAAGCCCTATAAATGTGAAGTATCTGAAAAGTCATGTGAAACATCTGATAAATCCGGTGGTCAAAGCTCAGATGTAATTCAGCATAAGAAGACTCACACCAAAGCCAAATCATACAAATGCAGCAGCTGTGAGCGTGTCTTTAGCCGCAGCGTGCATCTCACGCAGCATCAGAGAGTGCACAGAGAGATGCCTTGCAAGTGTGGTGTGTGTGGCCGTGACTTCTGTCATACTTCTTACCTGGTTGAACACCAGAGGATCCACCATCAAGAGAAACCCTATGGGTATGATGAGTGTGGGTTGGCCTATGTGAAACATCGAGGTGTTCGTTTCAGAGAAAAGCCCTTTACTTGTAAAGAATGTGGAAAAGACTTCAGATTGAATTCCCATCTTATTCAGCATCAAAGAATTCACACAGGAGAGAAAGCGCACGAGTGTGATGAGTGTGGACAGGTATTCAGTCAGACCTCATACCTAATTCAGCATCACAAGATGCACAGGAAAGAGAAAGCCTATGAACGGAATGAAGATGAGGAAAGTTTCAGTCACAGCTCAGATCTTACCCTGCAACAAGAAATTCTCAGCAGAGAAAAAGGCTTTGATTGTGAGGCCTGGGAAAACAACTTTAGTCCACGAGCACATCTTGTTCCACATCAGAGAATTCAGACCAAAGAGAAGCCTTATGAATGCAGTGAACATGGGCAGGCACTTAGTCCAGTTCAAGCCTCCTTCACCCTCTGAATTCCCAGTGGGATGAAGTTATGTCCACACTGGATGTGGTAAAGCACTCAGCCACTGCTCAAGCTTGTTCAGCAGAATTCACATCGAGAGAAACCCTTTGAATGTGACCAGTATTGGGAGTATTTGAGTATTGTTCAACTTAATTGGCTCCTGCAAATCCACACTACTAAGGAAAGCTGATGAATGTATTGGATGTGGTTAATTCTCCACATTTGGGGAATTGGTACTAGAATAAAATTCCTCTACTGAACTGAACATGAAAAAGCCATCAGTAAAAGAAGCTACCTTGAGTGTCAAATTCATGCCATATGGAAAGCCTATGAATGTAATAAATGTTTCTGTGTGAGGCTATTCACTCATAACCCAGTGCTCATTGAACATCTAATATAGCCCCAGAGAAGTCATTGGAGTACAGTGTATGTGTCAGGCCATGATCAGAATTTGTATACCAAATGAAGTTCTGATGGAATGCAAGTATTTCAGGCTTTGCCCAACCTCAACTTATTGGAGAGAAAATTGTTATTCATGTATGAAGTTGTTCGTATTTAGTCCCAGTCTTTTTCACGGCAGATGAATTTAGTCTGAAAGGTAACTTGCCGAAAGCAGTCCTATTTTCATATGGCATTTTTTAATTTAAGTGTTCTAAGTAGGTACGAGAATTTTATTTACAGACTCATAAGCTATTTTTATTTTACTATAGTCTATACACAATTTATATTTTTTGAAATTGGTTCTTACTTGGTTTCTGTAGAATATTGTCAATGCACCAGGGTTAAGATGCCAGGAGCGGAAAGCAGCTCACTTAGCTTTCCATGGTGTTCTTGGCCCAAGTTCTCCTAGTACAGACTCTTAGGCTTGCTCTTTTCTGAGGATCCTACATCCTGCTCCTTTCTAGTTACAACCTTACATTCCTGTCGATTTCTGCATTCTCCTAAGCACCTTCAAGTGATGACTTCCTATTTTTAAGCTCCTCACTAGTACATATGCTGTTCCAATTTGGTATTGCTGGTCTGGTGTTTTCTAAGAATTGGGATTTCCACACCAACCATCCACAAGGACAGAGATTCAATCTCCCTTCCTGCAGCAGGCCATTAGACATTTTGAAGTGATGCCAAGTTTATAGCTGCCTTTTCTGCATCCACAGCCCTCTAAGAAATAAGGACATAAGGTAGCCAGGAAGGCTCCTGGTGACCTAGCTGTATTCATTCAGTGCCTATTCTGCATGTGTTAGTTTAGAATTCTTCTATATGCTTCTATTGAAGGCCAGCAAAATGCTCAGGTCTGCATTTGATAGGGAAAATGTGAAGGACCTAGGAAATGAGAACATTGCAAATGAATACGGCCTTCCAACAAAGATGTTGCTGTTCTGTATTGTTTCTAGAGCAGTATTTCAAGAAAGTGGCAGGTCTGTTCTTGATAAAAGTGTAACCATTAGGCAGTATTTCAAGAAAGTGGCAGGTCTGTTCTTGATAAAAGTGTAACCATTAGAATTGCTTCTTTATCTGTTTGAATTCCCCCCTCTTCTTGTCAGTCCTGACTCAGCCTCCCACGTAACTGGTTCTTTGGGCATGTGCTACCATGCCTGTATTTTTGTATGTTGTAGAATTTACAGGCCATATAAAAGAACATGGCTCTTTTTGATTAATAAAAATCACGGGTGTTGGTGTCATCGTCTATACCTAAAGAGTTCATGATTCTTCAGCTGTTGTCAAAGCATTTTGTTGTTTTTCCATTTTAGTCTTTAGAACATTTTGTGAATAAGACAAATGTTACTTAAACTTTGAGTTGTCAGTCAAGCAATTGGGGCTTTCATATTTAGATGTTATAATACTCACTAGAAATCCTAAACCAATATATAAAAAGATACTGCTCTTTCTCTAAGCCTCTTGTGGCTAACCTCTAGAATAGCTCTGCCACTGTAGTTTACTCTTTGCTGTCAGCAAGCATAAGACACCATCAGGGCAAGGTAAGGCTGTGAGTTGATCTAAATGTAAAAGCAAATGAAAAATGCATGTTTTTGGTTTTTTGTTTTTTTTTTTCTATCACACATGTATACTCTTGTAGAGACCAATAGTCCTTCCTCTCTGGTGACTATGAGACAGAATTAATCCCTAAATAGAAAAATATGTTTTAAAAAATCATATGTATGCATTTGATTTAGGAATGTGCTTTTGTACTTGAATAAAGGTGTGCTTGATATTCTGAGATCTGTTTTAAACAAAATCTGAAGGCCTCAGCTGAAAGCATTTGGGAATATGGAATAACCTTCTTGACTGCAATTTTGCTTCTCATTAAGAATGGATCTTATAGCATGCTTTTCCATAGCCACCCCTCTACCCCCCAGGAACTCAGCTCAGTGTTCAGGATCTAATGGGTTATTAACTTGATTGTTGTGTATTGTAGAAGAGTAAATAAGTTTTACAGTTGTTGGGTTTTTTTTCCCCCCCATTCTGGGGCTTGAACTTAGTCCTGGGCACTGTCCCTGAGCCTCTTTGTGCTCTACTGCTCTACCACTTGAGCCATGGCACCACTTCTAGCTTTTTTTGAGTACTTTATTGAAGATAAGAGTCTCACAGGACTTTCCTGCCCAGGCTGGCTTTGAACTGTGATCATGAGCCATGGGCGCCCAGAAATTTGGCAGTTTTGGTAGAACTTGGAAAATGTGGGGGATTTTGGAAGTAAAAAATATACTTAAAAAGAAGCCCAAATATTTTTTGAGGACACTTTATTTAATTGGTGCAATACAATGTAAATTTGTGTCCTGTCTCTGTTCTTGAAGGGGAGGCGGCGAGAAGAAGCCCATAGAGCAGGGGTGGGAACCTTTTTTCTCCCAAAGCCCATTTGAATTTTTCTGATATTATCCCCTGACCTTACAAAATCATCAATTCAGGAAGCCAAGTGCAGCCAACCAGGAGCATACACATCTTTCCACTGTGTGTCTGATCATTTTCAGGGTCTTTCATAGCCTGCAGCCTGATGTTCCCCACCCCTGCTGTAAAGGAACATTTAATTTATTTTCTTCCACCACCTGGCTACATGCACACATATGTAAGTACAGATTAAACTTAATTCTCACAATTCTGAATTAATTGCTTCATTTTGTAGAGGAGCTGGGGTGTAGAAAAGTTAAATTGGATCTCACTAAGTTAGTGGCATAAAGTCCAATCTGTTGGACTCCAAAACTATCCATTGACATGGTGATGGTGTTACTGGACAACTTGGAACTCTGAGAACTTAATTCTGATGGCTCTTCATGTCCTGTTACATCCTCATTAGTTGGGTATTGTCATCTGCAAATGATACATCCTCATTAGTTGGGTATTGTCATCTGCAAATGATGCTGAAGCTCCCAGGGCTTTCTGGGATGCTAGAAGTGAATGCACATGTAAAGCTAATCTAAGCTCCTTGAAACAGACTGGTCATTTGATAGGGTAACAAAGGTGACAGGTAATTGGAAAGCTTCCACATTCCTAGCTTTGCTCAAACATCCCCACTCCCATTGCTAGTTTCACATTTGCATTTCTTTTTTTCTTGTCTTTTTTTTTTTTTTTCAGGTCGTGGGGCCTGAACTCTGGGCCTGGGAGCTGTCCCTCAGCTCTACAGCTCAAGGCTAGTGCTCTACAACTTTAGTGCTCTACCACTTGAGCCACAACGCCACTTCCGGCTTCTTTTCTTTTTGCTTATGTGGTGCTGAGGAATCGAACCCAGGGCCTCATGCATGCAAGGCAAGTGCTCTACCACTGAGCCACCTTCCCAGCCCCCACATTTGCATTTCTTATGTCCCAGAATTGTTGAGCTTTTCCTAACCAAGCTTGGTGTAATGGGCGTGCATCCTTACCCTAGTGGAGCAAAGTGACAGGAAAAATCAAGCTGCATTCCTGAATGGAAATAGAGGCCTAATGAAACATGGGGAGCCTGAAGCAAAGGGGGTGTCAACTCTGAACCCTACAGATGAAGATGGCAACCCTAGGAATGGTGTGGGAGCAGCTGTGCACTCCCCAACCCTGAGACTGTATCCAGGCCTCAGATATGTTAGTCATTACCCAGTGGACAAAGTTTGAGAACAAGGTTCTTAAGGAGCTCAACCCTATATTTTAAAAAAGCATGGGAGAGCTGGGTGCTGGTTGATGACGCCTGTAATCCTAAATCAGGATCATGGTTTGAAGCCTGCCCAGGCAGGAAATCCCATGAGACTTGTCTCCAATTAAGCATCAAAGCGCGCGTTCTCCCTCTCTCCTCTCTCTTCTCTCTCTCTTTCTTTCCTTTCTTTCTTGTCCTGGGACTTGAACTTAGGTCCTGGGCATTGTCACTGAGTTTTTTGCTCAAGGCTAGCACTCTACTACTTGAGCCACAGCATCACTTTTGGCTTTTTCTGTTTATGTGGTACTGAGAAATCAAACCCAGGGCTTCATGTGTTCTAGGCAAGCATTCTACCACTAAGCCACATTCCAAAAAAAAAAAAGAAAACTTAAAAATGGAGCTCAAGTGATAGAACACCATTTTTGAGCAAACAACAACAAAATGTCAGCATTCAAGCCCCAGGACCAGCACACACACACACACACACACACACACACACAAGACTCAATGCTCCATAACTGTTGGCTGCTCTTTTTGAAATGAACAGGAACTCCCTTATGCACAGTTGAACAAGTGACCTTTTTTCTTGCTTTGATATATCAATTAGGCTTCTGGTAAGCCTATGGTAAACTGCTTGGATGTTGGGCCTTTCTCAAAGGCTCTTGTGCCTATTTGGTCCATGGAGGCTGCTCAGACAAAGATGGAAGGGGCTGGGTATAGAGGATTGGCTGGAGGGAGGCCTTGCAGGATCAATTTGGCCTTGTGACTTCCAAGGGAGGTGGAGATGGCTAAGTTGAGGGACGGATGGGATGGGGGCACTAGCAAGAAGGAATCTGATGGCCACCAACTAACTCTGGGTCTCCTCAGGCCATAAAAGGTAGGTATGAAAGCAACCATCTGCCTTCAATCCCTCCTTGAGTAAAGGTGGACACAGAAGACGACCCTGGCTCACTGTGGAGTTTGATCAAGTTAGACTTCCAAGCTGCCCAGAGGGAGCCGGAAGTGCTCATGGAGGACCCTGAAGTTCTGAAGGTTCCCGGAGTTGGGAATGCCTGTGTCTCTGGAGCTGGGGCCTGTGGAGTCAGAGTGACTTCTGAGGGCTGGGTAGGGCTGCAGATCCTTGCTGCAGGTTGATACTGGTTTTAGCAGGTCCCTCCTGGGCAGTTGGTGCTGAGCTGGCTGGCTGTACCCTTTGGGCATCTCTCCTGGAGAAGGCGTGGAGCTTCTTGCTTCTGAGCTGGGTGCTGCTTAGAAGTTTCACTGTTGCCTCTCTGTCCCTTCTTTCACCCTTTCCTGAGGCTTCTGCACATCCCAGGCCCTGCTCCAAAGACTACAGAGATCTGGACTTGCATCATCAGAGAGAGAACCTAGGGCTTCCTGATGCCCCACAGTCTATAGGCTCACCACCAGAGCAGGAGCCGCTAAAGCCAGGATGAGAGGCTGAGCTATCCATGACCCTCAGACAGACCACAGGCTCAAGATTAAACTTATGCTTAGAATTGGCCCTGTACAAGACTACTGACTTAAAGAACAAAACAAAAAGATCTGAAGACCTATCACAAGTTAGGAAAGCCCATCTCTGCATGGCAGAGCATAGCCACCACAGCACTGACAAAACTCTTCCATGGTCTTTGCAGAGGCTCAGAAAATGTGAATAAATAAACTCAGCCATACCAGTGCCAGGAAAAGATTTGATTCCTAACCCATTCTACTTCACCTGTCTTAGGGAAGATGCAATTTTCTCTCCAGGTTCAAACCCAAAGGGAATGCCTTGTGGGTGTAAAACAGGTCAACCACCAGCTGATGGGAAATGAAACTGATCTGTTCATGTCAGCATTTTTATTTCAGTCAGCCTTCCCACCATTATCTAGAGTATAGCCATTAAAAAGAAAAAAATGATGGGGCTGGGAAGGTGGCTCAGTGGTAGAGCACTTGCCTTGCATGCATGAAGCCCTGGGTTCGATTCCTCAGCACCACATAAGCAAAAAGAAGAAAGCCGGAGGTGGCGCTGTGGCTCAAGTGGTAGAGCGCTAGCCTTGAGCTGAAGAGCTGAGGGACAGCGCCCAAGCCCCAGAGTTCAGGCCCCACGACTGGACCCAAAAAATAAAAATAAAAAATGAGCTGGGTGCTGGTGGCTCACGCCTGTAATCCTAGCTACTCAGGAGGCTGAGAGATCTGAGGATCTCGGTTCAAAGCCAGCCCGGGCAAGAAAGTCCGTGAAACTCTTATCTCCAATAAACCACCAGAAAACCGGAAGTGGTGCTGTAGCTCAGGTGGTAGAGCACTAGCCTTGAGCTGAA